AGGTCTATTTTTTTGCGACGAATTAAGTATTACTTCATCAGGATTAACAGAAATCTGATAAGAATGTAAGAATAAACTAGTCTGAAGATAGTAACACTTTTAAAATGCATCTATGTTTCCGTCTATTCTTATCGGTTAGACTTAGTATGAATGAATGGATTTTTCACAGCAGGATAAATTATTTTAATACTGAATTATTAAATTGTGAAAAAACATTATTATTACCCGGTATTATAAATATTATTATTATCATTACAATAGTCTGTATACACGTAATGAACCATTTATTTATCACGTTGGTTAGTATTTAACAAACTAAAATCATATAGACAGGGAATAGGGGAGTTTAAGAGCTGGATATTTGGGTGCATGTTATCAAGATGATATAAAGAAATATTTCATGAAATAACTTTAAATAAAATGCAGAATCACTCAAGATATATAAGAAAATCAAAACCTTCGTGGTATGTACCAATTTACGACTATAATTTCGAAACAAAATCATAAGGCTTCATCAAAGTTACATTCGGATAGTTATCAATAAAATCAACCTAAATAAATCTAAACACCAGTTTACCACAAAGAAATGTATAATTAAATCTTAAACAGAACCTCAATTTCTTTGTGATCATTTCGAATGGGATATTTTCTTAAAGTGGATTATCCTACACTCATTACTAAAACAGCTACTTGTAAATTAAAATTTTTTGTTTTACCAGAAACGGTAACATGGTAACGAAAGTTCTTAACATTAATTATATTTCTGGAAACCTGATATCAGTAAATAGAGAAATTAAGTTGATCTTGGTCGCGAGTTTATTGGAAATACCTATGCTACACCTTTAGGCTATACAACAAAATCATGGACTGTTATATATTTTTATTACCAATATTATTTTATTCTCAGTCTCAAAGTAGTTTTAGCGTCTGAAATCTGACCGATTGTTATTCGAATAATATTGATGCTAATGATATATATCCCACTTACTTCGTATATAATCTGTCAACAAATCTCGTTATTAACAACGTATATTTAAAAATTTCACAGATTGAAATCATGAGTCAGTTGAAGCTAGACCACCACGGTAAACCTGGAAGTACTGGACGGCATGGTGCGGGATCGTGAATGCGCACTGCTGAGGAGTCCCATACTAGGACGAAACGGCCGTCCAGTGCTTCCAGGTTTTCCATGGTGGTCTAGCTTGAATTGACTCATGATTTCAATCTGTGAAATTTCTGAAATCTCCACAAACCCTTTTGGTATATTTAAAAGTTAATTATGAAAATATTTGAGGAGTATAAGTTTTTGACTTTAATAACGCATGACAAAGATAAAAGACAAAAACAAGAATTTGAACTGGAGAGGTAGAATTAGCCAACTTAGTGAGTAATAGGTCATTCAGTCTTTATACGCATGAATGTGACTCAAGTTAGTACAGAGATATATGCATACTAGAATACACGAAAGAATAAAACATGACGAAGACTACACATGTGTAATTGGCAAGGCTAATGGTGCGAATAATGAGATATCTGGAAGGATCTGAATAATTTATCTGTCCAGTGCTTAGATCAAATGACGTATCATGTGAAAACAAAGATTTTTTACGTAATCCTCAGTTTACTGAGTGCATAAATTATGAACAGACACATCAAACATCTAAATACGCAATCGAAATCACTTCAACCATTCGTAATGTGTTTATGATTACAGTACACTACTTTTGTAACCACAATGTTTAACGGTTTATCAGGGAAACACACAGACACAGATGAATGTTTCCTATTAAAAAGTCTATATGATTTAATTGAAGATATGTTATCATATTTCAATATAAAAGTAAAACATTTCAGGTCAAATCAAAATGACTGCTGTTAGTAATATAAGAATAACAAATATAAATACAAATGCAGTTTAACAAAGAACAACAAGTTGCTATTATCATGCTTCCGTAAGATAATGTTTTCATGATTGCAAAGTTGAGTTAGGTTTTACTTTTCCTCCCGTAAAAAGCGACTATACTAAAAAAGTCCGTAACATCTAATATGAGAAAATGAAGAAACCAGAAACTAAGTAATCAGAAAGATTTCAGTATTAAGTTTGAGTATAATTATAACAGATCTTAACAGATCGTCAATATATGATGCCAGTTAACATATACAAGAATGTTAAATCAATGAGAACCTGACTACTTATAATGTCTATTTATTTAACTACTCAGTTATTTAACTATGCCTGTCGACATAAGCAGTATATATCACATCTGGATTACTTAGTTTGTCAAAGTTACAAAAATTAGATTTCTCAGTAGTACGTATTTCTGACGACGAATTTTTCTTGTACTATAGTGAAGTGGTTTTTATCTATTTTGAAACTCACTAAAATTATGAACCGACCAAAGTATTATATACTGACGACCTCGAGGAACTTGTTAGCCAATCAGGAAACACTGTAGGTACAAAACATTAGATACTAAGAATAATAAAATAACAGTGGAATACTAGTTTTGATCTTAATGGTCAACTCTCAAAAGTTTAATTATTCTTTATAGTAAAGAGAAAAGATCAAGTCTACATATAAGGAGTTGGGTTTGTGTTGTGCGTTAGGGTTATCATCCTAGAGAGTTTTGTCAACAAATAACTCTAGCGATAATGCAGAAACGTTATGGTTAAATATTATAACTTAAGCTTAGATTCTGAAATTGGTTTGTAAGTTAAGGGTAGTGTTTCCCTCAGAAACTGACATCAGTGGTGATGCGACTTTTTGTCACTCTTCTGCTTACAAACTAAAGAAAATTGGGGTTTACATTCAGAGTGATAGTTAAGAAGGGAGAATATTATCTAGTTTTACTAAACACTTTTGACCATGCGTTGAATCACATTAAGCACTTTGGCACACAGTCTGCCTTAAGAGCAGGTAAGTTTTGTCACTTAGCCTAAGCTTAAATAAACACACTATTTAACCTTGTGTTGATATTCTAAAGAAGTGGCTTGCACTAATTCAGGAAACACTAACCTTCTACCTAATGCTCAATTTACTTGAAGTGGCTATGAAATCTGTAACATAAAGTAATAAAGTACATTACCGAATAAAGGTAAGAAAGTTAATAATGATCTATTTAAATCTAACAAAATGGCCCCAACGATGACTTAACTTCTGATGTAAAAATTTTAAAGATACAGGACTACTTATTTACCTATCTGTACAAATGAAAAAAATAATTAGATCTTAATAAATACCTTAAACCAAAGTGTTCATGATAAAGTTATACTAATGTAAATTGAGCAGTTTACTTGTTAGGTTACTAGTGAATTAATCAAACAAAACAACATTTTAAAAACATTGAGACACTGAAATGCAAGTTTTTATGCCCAACCAAAATCTTCCAAGAATTTACCTTTGACAACATTTTTGAATAACTCTCCATACCACGAGCTGCCTTCACAGCTGGGTTATTTTAATAAATCTATTTGGAACAAGATGACATTAAGTCCATCAATTTAAAGACAAGGCATATAGTTTTCATTGACATAGCTGTATTGCCGGTTGCTATGTCAAGTCCACATAGCTTATTCTAGGTTCTGGACAGGCCAATTTATCCATTCTTCTTGAGTCACATTTTGACCATGTTAATCATATGCTTATCAACCTTGACTATTTTTATATGAGTGTATGTGTGTACATCTTACCCTATTCATCACGTATCTGTAACTTATTTTTGTGTGATTATAAATAATGATTCATGCTTGCTTACACGTCCTCACTGCGCGTCATTTCACTTCGCTTTCTTCGCTTCGTTCTTGAGATTGTCTGTCCAGATCAATGAGCGTAAAAATGATATACATTCAAAAATCCTTTCTCGTATATGACTTATTTAATTCTGTTACTCACTAATGCGATTTAAGTCGATTATTTTATACGAGGATTGATGACGTTTACCTCGATAGCAATCATTCAGTAACAAACATTCATACAATCTAAATGGTGTCCGATTTAGGGTCACAAAAGAGCATCTTTATTCCTGAATGTTTCATTGGTAGATATTTTTGACATAATTTATCTCTTTGATGATAAAAATAGTTTTGAGGGGAAATTAGTGTACCAGTGGTTGTTATATGCAACTGAATGTTAAGTCTTATTTTATATATAATCGACATATATAAGATACGGACAACAATAGGCCTTTATATCAGATGCTTTCTAGTGCTAAAAGAAAGTATCAGCCTAAAGCGAGCAACTGCACAAAATAAGATACATATTAGGTAACCTGATGATCAGGACAACGTGAACGACTTCCGCAGATATTGTAAACAAGGACAGATCAAAGACATTACAAATATTTTTTAATTTAATGATTATTTTTATGATTTCGGTCATCAAAGTATACACGCTGTTCCAGACATCTTTTTGTTCTTGAATTATTGTTGTTACTTTCATTGTTTTAATTCTCATGAAAAATTTATGATTATTTCATTAATCTTTTGTGTAATTGCTACCAGTTTTACTACTAAGTTCACCTGACTAACAGCAATTCACATTTGCTTTTCGTTATGACTTACACTATGAATGTATTCATTTATTCAGTTTCTGTTTGCACTAAAGTATTATGTTGTGGAAAGTGCTTGTTATTACGTGTTTTTGTAAAATTAAATTTGTGAATGTTTAATATGGTACGTGATTGTCTAAGATTCTTAAAGTAATACTTATATTATTCTCCATGACAACCTCTTCAAATCTGTTGGTGTAAATGACGTAACGAAAAGTCTTGTATTTTAATCATTAATTCTGTATAATAAACTTATGGTGTACCCATACCTCAGTGATTATATGATAAAGCTAATCATTAGAATATTCAATATTCTTCCTGCCAACAGAGACTAGATTTCACTAGAAATTTGATTCATAATTAATGTAAAACCTTAAAGACAAATCTTTCACATCCTCTATGATACGCTAAATATGTCTAGTGGTAAAATTATATAGTAAACAAGCAATTATTCACAACAAATTTACATGATATTTAGAATTATAATGTTCACAATATATTTACTTACATTTGTACAAAAAAAAACCGTATTGATTTATAAAAAATAAAACACAGGTACGAGGAAAATAAACCGTTTAGATAAGAATTATGGCAGATATTTTGTTGATGGTAATATGGTATATGAATAATAATAATAATAATAATTCAAATTCCAAAGAAGACATAAAATCATAAGTAAAATGCAATAAAAAAAATGAACCGAAGGAAATATATCAATTTTATTAATCACAATCACAAAAAAAAGAAAGAAAGAAAAGAAAAAAACAGGATAAAAATATGGTTATCATTGATAAATTACATGTGTTACAAAGAATGAAAAATAAACTTTATAACTTAGTGACAGAAATATTTTAATTGATTTGTTAATTGACAACAAAATTTTTTTAAAAAATACATAAACATATAGAAGTTTATATTTTTCCTGCTATCTATTTGAATTGATTACAAAGACATGTATTATTATTATTATTTGATTAAGTGAGTGAGCATATGATAGATCTTTATATTGTTTCTAACAGATTATTACATATGAACTCTTTGTAAAAAATAATGGTTTATTGAAATAAATTAATGTTTGTGAAGATAATCAATATTGTACTCTAAGATCGTATTAATAATTATTATCATTTGTATGTTAATGTCCTGATTATTAGGCAAATAATGATTCAATTTCGCTAAATGTAGTGATTGTTTCGTAATATATATGTATATATATATCTGTAACCTATTCGGGATATACATTTGTAATGATTTCTAATACATACATGTACTGTTTTCTTAAATGAGATTGTTAAACTGAATACTATGAATAAATTGGATATTTGTACTACTTATAGATCAAATTCAGCAGTATAATTGAATAATGTAGAAACTTCATTAAAATTAAACAACACAGAGATAGTGATAACGGTAACTCTATTCAATAGTATAATTCAGCTTATTTGTTTTATACATGGAAATATTTTTTTTCTTAAAAAAAATTGTATCATGATATTTAAAATTAAAAGTTACATAATACAAAGATTTTTTTCTAATTTTATTACTGTAATCATTTCATTGAATGTTATTTTGAAAGTTTACTCTTGTCTATTTGTAATAGATGGGTTGAATTTAATGATTCTGTGGCACTTGACTGATAATCATTATCAATAACAAAATCATCTATACTTATTAAATCTGATTCAGCTCTTAAAGATGGTTCACTTATTGTAAATTTTTCTTTTGCCTTTTCTAATTCATACCAGTAATCACATGTACACATTTCAGCATCTGAATCATATGATAATTTTAATGAATATACATTATCTTTTGTTAAATTAGTAGGTTGAAATTCTTTATTTGTATTTATAATATATTCATTGTCATCTGGATTTGTTTTTCTTGGCCTTTTCTTTTGACTTGGTCTAAATGATTTGTGATCGGATGTTTTATGTGTAGTTGACTTAAATATAGGAAATTTATTTACTTGATGTTGTTCTAGATAACTAGGCCAAACATTAGTTGAATTATTTGGAATAACAGACCCTGTGTCAGTCATCATTGCTGCATTTGAAAAGTGTGGATTCATTTTTGTTGACCATTCAGTATAAGCTTGTAGACTAGTTAATTGAGCTGGTGTTAAAGCTGGTGAAGAGAAAATTGCTTTTGGATGAATCTTATAAGAAGGATAATATTTTAAATGATTTAAAAATGATTTGTTTTGATTAAGAAACTTAAGTTGAGAACTTTTATTGTCCGAAGATTGAACTGTATCATCTGTTTCAGATTCAACGTTATTCAATGATTCTTGTAAATGTTTAATATGGATTTTGCTTGGTGTTATGTTATTGATGTGATCCTCGTTGTTATTTATACTACTTCCATTGTTATAACCGTTAGCAATTAATGCAGGTGTATTATTCTCGATAGTTTGATAATCATAATTACGACGAGGTTGTTTAGTGATGCGCCTCAAATTAGAGGCATTAATATTTTGTATGTTTGAATCGAATGGATGATTTTTATTATTGAATAAATCATGGTTATAAAAATTTGCATTATGTTTTGTCAATGGACACACAAATGATGAACAAAATTCTGGTTCTACAAAATAATTAAAATTAGGATTACGCGTTAAAAGATGCCGTTGTTGTAGTTGTTGCCTTCGATGCTGTTCTATTAGAGCCTTTTTAACGCGGTTTCTCTTCGAATTATGTATGATTCTGTAATTATTAAATAAATTTATATTCGGTGGATTTTTTTGTTCCGGACCAAAAACTGTTCTTAAATCAATGGATGAACGACTGGCATAACCATTTTTATTGACGAACCGATTAGAATGCAATGCGTTTTGCATGCTTCTATGAAAGGAATGTCCTGATGTAACTTTAACTTCAGATTTATTGATATTAAATTCATGATTGTTCGCATGCTTACTTGCTTTCCTTATTTCTTTTGGTTTACTCAAGCCTTCTTGATGTGAAAACAGGTTGGGATTACTGATTATATGCGAATTTTCAATGCTTCCAACCAACATGTTTAGATGTGGAACGGATGTTTTATCCGTAGTTGCAGAAACATTTATTAAACCGTCAGTTTTCCATAACGATTCTGGTTCTTCCATAGCACTACACGAATTCTGTTGGTCAGAAGTATCTGGACTAGGACGTTGTTCAAGAGTAAATTCTTGAAATGGTTCAAGTGATTTACCATTGGATGATAAGCTTGTGATAGGTATTTTTGGCGAAACAAGCCAAGGTGTTTGTCTAACAAGAAACGGATTAGATGTTTTCGGTTTCTGATCTGATGTACATGACATTTTTTCAGAATTCAAAGATGGCATCGATGTAAGTAGTGTGTGATTAGATAATCGTTGTTGTGGTTGCTGATATTTACCTTTAAAAGTCATGTTATATCCAGGTAGCAGGTCGCTTACATCAAATTCATTTGAAGAAATACCACCTAGTCTTTGTTGTGAACTTTCTGAGAAAGTTATATGTCCATTAGTAGATGATGATCGTAACCAAGTTATCAGTTTATAAATCAGTTGCCAGTCACTTATTTCAATCATTAATTCTTGTCTTAGATTTTCTAGATCACATACTGAGAGTACAATTCCATTAATATTTAGTTGTTTTATTTTGGATATATAAGATTGCATATGAGATGGATGAATGTCAACGATACTTGAAAATAACTCACAGACATCGTTAACTGTGTATTGATTTAGTGGAAGAGATGTGTATCTTTTCTGTACAGGACGCAAAAAATAATTTGAAATAAAACACATTAATTACGTCAAAATTATTACGCTTTTGATAAACATATTAAGGGAACGAAGTTGAAGTTCTGCCCTCCTATTAATTTCTAGGCACTGTTGGAATTACTTTATGCCTTTCGCGCAATTTCATCAGTGTGTATACATCATTATTCAACTTCATTTGTGAATATGGTTGAGAAATAAAGCGCTCAATTTTATATTATCTCCAGATCAGACCCTAACGGCTCCTTTGATGAATAATAGCAAAGCGGTTTACATTTTTTAAACGTTACCATTTATTTTAAAGCATATCAAATGTTTTTATTCTTTCACAAGCGACAGCACATAGATTTCACAATATTTCCTTAAAAGTTTTTTTAAAATGTAGACGAAACAGCCTTGTAAGACAACAATCTGATAACCGAATCAATGAAATTCCTAAAACTATTGAACAATTTAAATGACACAAGACTGACTGTTATTCGGTGTATAAATAAAAACCTGGTTTGATTGAAAAATTACTATGAACTAAGGGAGAAGACAATAAATTTTCATCAACATACTTATTGGATAAAATCCGTATCATAATGAGCAGACAATTCGTGTGATTTTGCTTTCATGCTGTGTCATTTTCACTGTGCAGTGATATACAAGTGCTTTTTTATCAAAATTAAACAATTTAGGCTTTAAATAAAGACAATGTTTACAAAGCTATTCGTGAAGTGAATTTTAATTCAGAATGGTTTTTAAGTTCTCTATTTTCATTCTAATTCATCCAGAACAGAATATCCCTATCAAACCAGTATTTCAAAATATGTACCTTACTTTATTGAATAAAAATGGTTCCGCATTAAATCTTCGACTGATTGTGCGCGTAACAAATATCTGCTATCTTAATTAAACTAAAATACAATTTAAGCGCTCAAAAGACCTGGATTGAAGTTATGAATAATGTTGTTTTCTCGAACATTTTGTTGATTCGTAAAGAAGCGTGGTTAATTTACACTAAACTGTTAGAAGGACTGTTTCATAACGTCTTATACTAGGGTGGCATTTTAGGCGTCCTTATCAGTCATTCAAGCACTACACATTCATTGGGCTATGAAAGAGATCATATTGTTTAACTTTGTTATACGATGATCAACGAGTATGTTGTACTAAAGTTATTTATGCGACTTCACGATAGACATATAGAAGTAAAAGTAATATTACTGTCTTCGGGATATTAACTACATAAGACTCACCTTCAACCTTAGTGGACATGATTTATTAAAGAAATTATCCCCTGTAGCGACTGTATCAGATGAACATGGCCAGTAGGCGTTTGAAGGAAGGTTTTCAGCAGATGATAATGAACCAGTTGTTTTGCAGCTCATTTGATTTGTCTGTCCCCTTGAAGAATTCAACTGAACACTTGCATAGATGGGTACTGAATTTGTTTGTCTAACTTTATCTAAAGCAAAACTATTATTTGTATTATCACTCTTCTCCTCAACGACTGCATCAAGAGGATTCATAAAACTATGATGGAGACCTGATGATTGGCGATCGTTCATCATTCCCAATAGAGCTTAACAACAGATATTCGAAAAAAATATTTACAATATATTTTAACTAAAAAGCGATCTTACTTAAAAGTTGTCAGTAGTATAACACATTTTAATATTATTTAGCGAGAATCTTTCTAAATTATTGTTCATTTCGTGTTGCACCAGACAAGTCTCAATATTATACTTCATTTCAATAAACTTTCTTCGAAATACATATGTTGGTTCGCACAGTAATGAGATGTATCTAGTTACAGTCTTCCTTGTAAAACTGAGTTACATAATACACATTACCATTGAATAAACTACATACAAAATAAAACCTTGGTTCTAAATATTGTCTCCCGAAATTGTTGTTTAAGTTATTTTTCTGATATTTTTGGTCTAGAGGTAGATATTTGGTGCCTCGATAATGGTAAGTTGTGTTTATTGATATAAATTTTAAAGGATTGAATTAAAAACACCCAGACACTATCCTACTTATTAGTAAATATAATTTAATATTAGAAGTAAATAAAAAATCTTGGTGTTATCAGAATGGGGGTTTGTGGAGATTATAGTAATTTACTTTAGAAGCCGTGATCAGTGCAGTTCAACCATGTTTGTTTTGGGGCAGTTACTCACTGAAGATAGTGATAGACAGTCGCGTAATATTGTGAGTTGGTTGAAGTTAAACATTAACACCGTTGGATGATGGCTCAGTGGTCTAGTAATTAAGCGTTTGTACGCGATACTGAAGGTCCTCGGTCGGAGTCTTATGTGCAGAAAACATAGATGCACACTGCTGATTATTATCTTACTAAGACGAGACGGTCATTTAGTGCTTATAGGTATTTAATGGTGGTGTCACTTAAATTGACCAACCAATCCAACTATTTAATCGTGGTGTAACATTTGCATCTTCCTTACTTTATCATTGATGTGGGGAGTCGGAATAATTAACTAATTATAGCTCGCATAACTGCCCCTCGTCAAGTTACACAGAGAAAGGACGTGAAGCTCATGCACGTAAAGCCTTCGATTAGATTTTAAATAGAGATATGTATACTTCTTCATCGCATAAAGATAATTAAATTAATTTTCCGATACGGAATTGATACTGAGATAACGAGCTCGTGAAACACAAATCAAACAACAATTTATTGTTTGTTAATTTTCCCATACTTTTGGTTTGCCATACGGTGACAAATCTTCATACAAATACTGAAGATTTGTAATTGCTGGTGATAAGTAGTTTGTTTTATTCCTATGAAAGATACAATTTTTTTATGATATGCCACTAATGAATATATTACACAAAGCTAAAAATGAGTTTTATGAATAAATTAAGGAGTTCTCTTTTTAACGCATCAGTACATAGATAATCATGTTTCGGTGAATGGACTACTAAACTAAAATAATTATACAAATTTAATTGGTAGATATCTTATGACTTCGTTAATCCATGACACCACTGACACAGTTATACAGTAAATGTTAATGAAACAAGCGGCTTCTACCACTCTGTCAGTATTATCGTCTTCAGTCACAGGCTATGTTGAAGTGTTTGTGTATTACACAAGTTCACCAGCATTTTTCATGCTCATCACTAAATACTTTTCTTTATCCTCTGTAAAATGAAAAAAAGAACTAGTGTGCGAAATGAAAAGGATATGTGCCCAATTACTATTTCTTGGCATATGACTGGAATGCATTAGACAAACCCTTCAACTCTCATTCTCAAAATAAAAATGCTTATTAGTTTTGCGCTAATTTATTTCGATTTGTTAAAGAATATTAGACTGTAGCGTGGAGAACCACTGAAGTCTATGTTAGCTTTGAATTCCCCTACTGCTTCCTGCTTCATTTTTATCGGATTTATAATCGTCTAGTCTCTATGTCGCCTTGTTGTCATGTACAACCTAATGCTTGGTGCCGTTTCATACTAGATGTTTTGTAAATAGAGAATGAAGACTATTTTATACTAAAAATAGAATATTTAAATTAATTGGGTTTATTACTTATTTATAAATAATATTTCTTTAAAAAAATTATACAGATTAGTAAATTGAAAACATTAAACCAGTCAAACTGATTATAAGGTTCGTCCATATTCTATGTTGAATGTATTTAAAATTTTCACTTATTTCCCCTCTTTTAAGATGATTTTAAGTAATAAACGTCATTTTTCCCTGATTTATGATACTGTGAAACTTGAAAAATTTGACTTTTTATTACGTCTGATCAATTACTAGTTACTAATAGTATACGAAGTTTGTACAGATTAGTCATTTTAAAGATAATTTACAAAATACTCTGATTTCTGTTAGACATTTATATCATTTTGTTTCGGCTAAACATAATTACGTCAACAAATAATCCGTCAAGAAGTCAAGATAAAGAACAATAATCCTTGCATCTAGTTGATTGCATCTAAATAGATGAGCTGACATTCAGTGGGATATTGGCTATCATAAAATTAACAATCTCATATCATTTGATAATATGATATATGTGCAACATATAAGTAGCAAGTAAGGGATATATCCAAGTTCAAACCATTTGTATTTTATGGTTCCCATTATATTAATAATCAAAAAACTTATAAAATTATCTACCAGAGTTCGGAATTATACTTAGGAGGTTAACTTTTATAAGAAAATATCCATTTCGTTTCAATAAGGAATTCATATATTCAGAAACTAATACACATACCAAAAATATCGATTGTTTTCAAATGAAATTAGTTCAACTTCAAGTTGCATTCTTGAAACTTTAAATCAAATTTCATCTTTAATATGTGCATCTTATTAAGAAGAATGATTGTCCACCCTCAAGTCGTTTGGATTCATTCTAAATTTATTCAAGTTATCAAAATAGGTTCTATAAAACTATACTATAATAAATAGTTAAAGAGTAATTTTGTATTCAATCACTTAAGAATTAATTCGAAAACATTCTTATCTTATTTGACTTTCACTGGTTGAACTCATGATTCATTTGAAGCTAAACCATCATGGAAAACTTGGAAGCACTGGATGGCCGTTTCGTCCTAGTATGGTTAAGCGCCTGGCACGAGACTGATAGGTCCTGAGTTCGAATCCCGAGGGGAGCGGGATCGTGGGTGCGCACTGCTGGGGGTCCCATACTAGGACGAAATGCCGTCCAATGCTTTCAGGTTTTCCATGGTGGTCTAGCTTTAGCTGACTGATGATTTCAACTAGTGAAATTTCTAAAATCTCAACAAAACCAATTCTGATTATTTGACTTTAATGCATAGATTTTCAATTTCAATAAGAGAAATTACCTTGAATTGTATAACGAATAAATGGATTATGTATTAGGCTACATGCAATAAGTTGTTTTAAAGAATTCACCGGAATTTGAGTAGATGATTTTGAATAAAGAAATTTATTAAGTCTTTCTAAATCTCGATCTTCTGTTGCTAAAGCTTCCATTATTTCAATTGATTCACCAACTCTTTTTTTAACCTGTAATAAGAGAATAATTATAAGTATAAAATAGTAGTAGTATAAGTTATACTTAAAGAAGAATTGTTGATTGGATGAAGAAAAAAAATACTTGGTAGGTGTTTGGATTCTTGTTTCAGTAATTAGTGAATCATTTTTTCACTTAAGAACCATCAGCAAATGGCTATTGTTTGTTGTATGAAAATAGGCTTATTTAAGTAAATAAAAATCCATCCACAATACAAAGACCTTTAAATATGCTTTTTTTTTAAACATTTATCGGTTTCTATTGTGAGTGAAAAGAATACAATGTGATAGAAACATGGTATAAAAATATCTAGATATATATGCCCCTTTTAGTCATTTTAGAGATTAAAATAGCATGATAAGCAATTTAAAAAGTTCTATGAAACATGAAAATACTTTTTGGAAATAGACAACAATTTCAGCTACCTAATATGCATTGGTTATATTACAAGTAGCGGAACACTTTCAAACAAAAACAGTTTTCCGTAATGTTTTGAGATCACTTCCTTTTTAAAAGAGAAAATTTATGTTTATCTTTATATTTTGATATCGTAAAAATTTGTCAATTTTGTGGCTATAAGTACAAAGCTTTGAAATGATTAGATTATTTGTGATGCTAAAACAACAATATACTTTATGATTTACATAAAGGATTTCATTTAGACAACCATTGAATACCAGCAAGGATTGAGCAGATGTTTCGTCCTAACCTAGGACTCTTCAGTAGTGTACATACACTGGGGGGATTCAAAATTTTCAGATCTCGTAAAGAACGCTTAATCTGTAGTATTTCGCATAATAATAAATTGTGCTATACCTAATAGAAATAAGTTCCTAACTTACCATACAATGTGAACCAATTCTTGTAACAAACGTAATTAATCTATTCAAATACTACACTACTGACAAAAATGGGAATTATCTTTACTCATTTATATTGCAAATATCATATTTTTTATATCTATTCAGATGAACATTAATACAAATATATATTGTCCCATCTTTGACACAAATGATACAACAACATAATCAAACTTCTTCCGACCACAATAAATATCTTATTTCATTTTATTATAATATTTAAACTTGAGTCTATTCAATCTAGTTATTCGTTCCTTGAGAAAGACGCAAACACCAAATCACAAAATCCCAAGCATTTAATGTTCCACTCAATAAAATATAACAAATATATCATGATTTCGTTATTGTAATGCTTCAGTGTTTTTTCTTTTACTGACTTTTTTCATGCCCTTCTTCCATGACTTATTTATTCATAACTATTCTGTAAGTTAATGGGTAACAACTTAAATATCCTGATAGTAACTAAGATAGTAACTATCCTGATAGTAACCTATTCCAACATGAAGAAGAAAAAATCAAGTTTAGTTAAACCTTTAAGCAAATGAATAATTTTTCACTTAATGAATCAAGAATTTAAAATAGTTACTTACAATATTATTGATTTTTTTAAAAAAATATTCAATTATTATTATTATTAATTAATTATTAAGTTTTCTTAGTTGATTTCAGGTACAGTTAACATCTTTATTCTTTTCGCTGTTGTTGTTGTTGTTGTTTTCAACAAACATTCATCATACTTGTATAATTACTTTTGCATATAGCATTCTTCTTCAGTTGATAATCAAATTGTTATGAACTTTATCAAACTGGACTAACCATTTATATCTTAAGTTTTATCAAGTTTATAGAGTATAGTTAATTGAACTACAATAATATTTGTTACATCTTGTTTTTTTGACCTAATTTCATATCATAACATAATGATTGATAAATTAATGTGATATAAAGAAATATGAAGGAATTAATTAATCAGGAAGAAAGAGCAGGACTTTCTTTTTTAAATAAAAGGAATCTATATAGAATAGAATAGAATTTAAGTAACATGAAGGAGAAAAAGAAGAAGAAGATGAAGAAAACTTCGTTAATTCGTGTCAATGTGAATATTATCGAAATCTTATTATCTTAGTGATAATAACTTTTATTCAGATATTTTGTACAAGTTGTTGATTTAATTCATTTAGAATTAATGTGAAATTAATGGAAACAATTAGTATAATAAATTCACTTGGCATTGTTTACTTGAATTTTCCCATTAATTTTTAGGACTGTAATTGATCAGTCTGTTATTGGCATATGTGCATATTGTACATATTGACTGGATAGTGTTTTCATTCACAAGCATTATAAGCAAAGATGGATAACGTGATGACGTTCGAAGTGGAAGTTAATGAGTTCGAGTCCCATAGTGAACGTCAACTCTGGAATGCAGGTACATCCAGCCGATGACTCTCAAATAGGACGATTCCACTACTAGCCACTATCCATCTTTGCTTATAATTAACACAATAGTCCAAAAAAGTGATAATTTTAAAAAATTAGAATACTTTTTTATGTCAATATTATTGTTAATTAAAATTAAGAATATTTATTTAACAGATTAAATACAAAATTACATGTCTATAAAGTATTATTTCATTTATGAAAAAAACTATACAAACATTTATACTATTTAATAGTTGTATTCATGAGTCAATAATAACCATCAGGTACCCATTGTTGACTGGCTTCAAGAGGTATTTTCTGGAGTTTTGATAAGAAGCCGTGACCAATGACGTTCAACTATGTCTGTTGTGAGACAGTGACTCACTGAAGATAATGGTGGGTGTATCGCTCAATTTCGTGGATTAGTTGAATTTAGATATCTACACCATTGAAAGCCGGCTCATTGGTCTAGAGATTAATCGTTTGTGCTCTAAATCGAAGATCCTCGCTTTGAATCCCATCAGTGGGATCGTGGACGCACACTGTTGAGGAGTTTAATACTAGGACGAAGCGGTCGTCTAATGCATCTTGGTTTTCGATGGTGGCCTACCTTTAATTGACTCATGAATTCAACTACTAAATTACTACGATCTTCACAAAGCCCCCTTCTGTTTTATATTGTTGGTTATTATGGTGAAATTCATCAACTTAGTTTCATCAAATCTCTAAGCATTTTAGAATTCAAAGTTATTTGTTGATTACATTAACGTTTAGTTGGATTATTTAAATGCTTCTTAGATTTATATTACTGAAATAACAGAAGTCATATTTTTGGGTTAATTTCATTCATGTGAAAATATAACTTATCTAAGTTAATGGTAAATTTGGTTAAAAACTAAACTGTTAATCAACAGAAATCAAGTGTATTGAGTAATAGATCATTGTGTAGTCATCTTTAAATGATGAAGTGTGTATGTGATATTCATTCAAGCTGCAATATAACAAGAAGTGTCAGTTATTTCTATTTCAATCCTGCGATGATATGTGATTATTTATGATCAAACCATAACAAATTCAATCAATGAAATGGAATTGAATCAACTGCATTCTGACAATTATTGATTAACAGATAAACAGTAGAGAAAAAACATGATTTGTTGTTGTTTTAGATTAGTTTAAAAGCAAGGTATCGTAGAGATTGTTTAGTTCAATTAAGTTTTATATTACTTTTAATGTTTGGGAATATTTCATCATTGTATACGAGAATAAACATTTGGTTTTCTGTTAAAAAATATTGTGACATTCAAGTGAATAATGCTTGATCATCCTTCATAATTTTTCTAATTCTCAATTCTTTTATGTTTCCCTTTATGTTTTCTCCATTTCAATCTTCTCAACATTCTTTTGATAGGCGTTCCACTTCCGATTGTTGCTACACACTACTTACATTTGTCAACATAAGTTGCATACACCACCTAGTGAATAGTCAGATTATACCCATAATCTAAGGGCACAGAACATCACTGAATTAAGGTAAGATCAATGTATACATATATACCATCAGATATTACAATTCGATATATTTCACACCAGCACTACTCAAATTTTCACTATAAGTAAATTTTCCATGATCGGATAATTGCTTGATGAGATTTATTTTTGTGGCTTTATTTAGATAATTTATATTTATTTCCGTAACGTAGTTCAGACCCAAAAGTGGAACAAAACGTTGAAGTCATTTACTTTCAGTAACTGAGAATTTTACTATTATGATATTTTTCTATGCGTATATGTGACCTACAATACCCAGTACGTAGATTGCAAATTTACTATATTCAGGTCGATTATATAAACTTACTCCTTAACAGAACGGAGAATCGTTTGTTACAAATGATTTAAATCTGTATATCATCACTAATTTTGGTCAGTTTTAATAAAAGTGCAATGTTTCTAGCATGAATTTCAAAAAAATATTAAATATATACATCAAACATATTAGAAATAAATACCATGAAAATACCTCGAGAAAAGCCTCCATTAGATTAATTTTGACTTCAAGATTTTGTTCTTTGTTGGAATTGATTGAATTTGAAGCATTCAAATCTTCTAGATAGATTATCAACCAAGTTGTATGATATGGCCAATGATGAATAAGCGTTATCCATAAGACTACTAGTCCAATCTCAATATTCATATTGTATAGTTTCAATAGACGATCTAAAGTATATTTATTTTGAAAGAAAATAATAAGATTTTGAAATTCCTAGTTATGATTCGAGTTTTTAATAAGCATATAGAGAAGACCATTATGGTGATTCTCGTAAATATTTGACAAAGTGCTGAATGTTTATTTTGAAATTGAATAAAACTATTCGCCTTTCAAATTAAATTAACAACAGGGCATCAAGGAAGCTTTAATTGCCTCAGGCTACAAACTGACCAGACTAGTTGTATGCTAGAAGCATTATTGAAAGCTTTTCAAGTGTAAATTTCCGACCACCCTAATTAAAGTCGTTCTTCTTACATATACCATGCAAATGACGTGATGTGATACTTTTGAGATATACAACAAACATGAGTTTATCTAAATTTAAAGACGGTCAATCGAAATGACTAACAAGACAAAACTAAAGACCCGTAAAAGTGCTTGTATTTAGGATTGAAATCATTTCACTCAGAATATGACATAACTGTCTTATTTCTATAAAAGAAATTGTATTTCCCAGTAAACTATTCATAATTTATTTTAACTTAACATACAAAATAAGATTCATAAAGTAATCAGATAGTTTTATATTTGAATATAATAATGTACTAAAAAAGTGCAAGAACAAAGATTGCCGCACCAATTTTTGTTCTTGCTCTCTTTAAGATAATAAAGGGAACTATGTGTATGAAATGTGCTCGAACATTAATTTTGGTATATTCTTTATGAATTGTACATTCAAAATGGCACAATTCTAAGAAATATTATCAAAGCACAAATATTATTATTTTCTATATAATGAAAATGTATCATAATAAATTCATCATTATGTTTTCTTATTATTTTAAATAATGAAAAATAGTTACGTAGAAACTTGTTACATTCGAACATGTACTTATTTTGTAATACAACAGTTGATGTGTATTGCATAAGACATTGTTATTTTTATATTCATATAAATCTAATAATGATAAATAATAAATATATAAATATGAAAACTCGTAAAATAAGTATGTTTTTGTGTGTGTGTGTGTATGGGGGGGGGAAATGCTTTTTTTTTTTTTCATACTTGAACAACGTTACAATTTGTGATAACATTTTAGTTATTTTCGGAATTAACAGAAAACGTTTCTTTTTTTTTCTTTCAATAACACTAATGATGTAACTTGTCCAATGTTTTTTTGGCATTCCAGTATTTTTATTTAATTTTGTTTTGATGAATATAAATAAATATTTAGTAACTATTTTTGTGAACAATTAATAACGATTTGCAAGTAGAATTACCAAGTTTTGACTTGATAATTTCAAATAAATTGAGCTTTGTGTAGATTGTTATAAACAAAAATAAAATATTTTTAATATCTCAATAAATAGAAAAATTAGATTTTATGATGTTTCGTGACTCAGTGTAAGACACTTCTTCAGAGAATATATTCCGCATCACAATATGGTGTTCAACTTGGGAAACGGTAAGAAGTATGTTCTATGTGTTTTTCTGGACTATACTTCAGCTTTTGATTCTATACCAAGACAACGTCTACCTAACAACTTAATTTGCATCAACACTGACAGCTGGATAACTAACTGGCTATGTTCCTACCTCTCTGGAAGAGAACAGTACACTGTGGTTGGAGGAAAGTGTTCAGAGTGTCTACTGTCTCATGAAGATGTACCACAAGGAGCTGTTCCTTCACCTCTTGTTTTCGCCTTTTTTTCTGCATGATCTGCCATCTTCCACAGAAAACACTTTTGTGAAATATGCGGACAATTTGTCGATTCCCGCATATTACCTATTATTTTTTACTGTTCTCCATTATTCTTTCCCGGGCTTTTGAGAAAAGACATTGCTGTATTTCGACGAGTGTGGAAGGCAGTTAGCAAGGTGTGTAGCGAATCTTTTGAGGTCATTGTTAATATGGTTTTGGTAGGTGTTGTCTTATCAGATAATAACCATCCTCTTTACTCATATCTCCCTCCTTGTATATCTTCTGGTAGAACGAGATGTAATTATATTAGAATCCAAGCACGTAGGCAAAACTATAAAAGTTCTTTAATACCTTACCTAGCAAATATACTCTGTGACGATCAGGTTGTTAGACTTAACCTAGTCAATTATCTGCATCCTCAACGTGTCTCTAATTTGAAAAGTTGTACAGTTTTTCAGTTTTTTTAACCTTTCTTCTTTTTTTTTGTAAAAGAAACTTGTTGAAATACCTTGTGCTGAGAATGCTTTATTGTACCAAAATATAATATTGAATAAAGCCATTAATAATAATAATAATATTAATTCTTCCATTGTTCCTTTGTACTATTTGAACTTGAATTAAGTTTTATTTGGTGATATATAGTATGAAGAATTGACATATATTGAGTTTCGAAACATCAGGAAATCTGGTTTTTCTATTCATTGGGATACTACAAATATGTTCATTTATTCATAATAAATAACAATCTATTCTCATTGTCCTAATAATTGAAAATGAGTTATTTTCTTGTTTCGTCTGCTCAATAGATCTATCGAATATCTCCTGATTTGCATTTAAAGTTCATTTTAATATCATTACTTTCATCTTAATTAACATAATGTTAACTAAAAATAAACGTCATATGTTTGTTTATCTTATATTCATATAAAAAAGTTACATCATTTTTTGGATATGATATAATTACCTAACTTGAAACGAACTCCAATGCATATTCCTTGATGGAGTTAAACTTCGATATTTCATCCTTTATTTTTAAAGTATAACATCGATCGATTTAATAGTGATGTTTATTAAGATGACTTTGATTGCCTACTTATGTTTTACATGATATTCACAAATTTGTATCTATATAGCTTACAGTACTTCGAAACAATTTGCTTCTGTCAAATATTCTTTATTACATAGTGTATTCTACCGATTTTTGAGGTGGAAGGTCTAGAAAACTATTAATAACCAAATGACAAAAAAACAACAACAATTCAGTTGAATGAATTTCTTAGTTTTTAGATTATTATATCATACACCTTGTTTATTACGATCATTTTTATGATATATGAAGATACTTAAAACTTTATCCAAAGTCATTTAACTGTTTTAAATGTTTTATAATAATCGTAATTATCTATTGTCACAATAGTTATAAATCTTCAAATTTCAAACGAAAAATCAAATAAGATTTTGTGGATACTGACTTAATTTTCCAATAAAATATATACTACTTAAATATTTAAAATTAACGTTGTTGTGCAACAATGTCATAAAATGTATTCATTTACAAAACTATCGAGCTAGTTATATCAATTGAATCATGTGTATACATTTCATATTTCCTATTCAATTTCATTTATGACAATAGGTATTGAATTATGAGTTAACTTACATGTAAATGCTGTAGACAGCACCAATTGTTTGATAACTTTCCCATTCCAATCAGCTAATTCATGATTATGTAAAAACATACTTGCAATATCATTTACACTAATGAACTCATTCACTTCTGTAAATTCGTTGTTATTTTGTTCTTTTTCATTATTTATTGGAGTAATTTTAGAATTATGTTGGTTATTTGAATTTGTTCCGTAAAAGTTGTTAAACATAGCTCTTGGTACATGACTTGAAACACAATTCGGACTAGATGACTGAAATTTAAAATGTATACCAGATAAGATAAAGTTCTTTTGTATATGCTTAATAATTCATAATATTTAACTTAGATATTTAAATGTATAACTGCTAAGATTGAAGCTATCACGAGTTCACTTAGTCTGCGAACGAGAAAAAAAGACTCGGTGACCAAAGACCAGTAAGCTAGCTGTTGATGCGTCCCAGCACCTCTAACTAGAGGGAGAATTCCAAGCTTGGAATGGGTAAGCATATTCTGCAAACAACCACAAACGAGCGATAACAACAAACACAATTCAAAATGTATATATCTATATATATATACAGTACAGAACCGTCCTTGGGAAGATTTACCAAATAGCATACTAAAAGGCGCAACGGACTAATAGAATTCAAGATATTTCTCACTGGGTGATACGAAATGAAGGTGACAAGAGCGCTTTTGGCGCATAAACAAAGAAATCCAAATTTTCTAAATAAAATTACAAAATTAGGTACTTTCCTAAGTGAGTTCTGGGGATCTAACGTCCCCAACAATAACAGCTATAGATATTAGGTATTCTTTAGACTTCTTTTTTAGATATAGCACACTTTAGGTCTCAGCTTATAACTAAAAATGAAAGGTGTATTTTCAGATAAATTTCAATGTTAGATGCAATAAAATTGGACTTAATTTTTTATATCTATATGTTTACAGCAGAACACTACTGAGACATAGTAAAGTTTTATGAGATATTTCCTTGTAAAGAGGATCATCAGATATGTAATTTTACCTAATCGTATTTTGAATGAATCAGCTAATATAAAGTTTTACAATCAAATAGGATTACTAAGCCTTATTTTGACAAACGTAAGATAAATTCTATGTTTATGTTCACATGAGAGAGTTTTGACAATTAACATTTTTGAATATTGACAGAAGTAAATACCTCTGTAAAAGACTAATAGTTTTATCCTTATTTTCAAATTTCAAAAGCACTAAATATAAATACCTGGGTTAAAACATATATTGTTCTGTTTTATATTCAATATATAATGAATTGTATGACTGTATATCCCTTACCCAATGATATTTCCTTTAGACCGGTCCAATCATATAAGGAAGAAAATATATGGACTTATATCTAAAGCTTATTTTTATACTCCAGAAACAATATAGATAACCTATTTATTACTATGAATGAAGTCTATTTTCGTTTGTCGTCTGTTATGTAAAAATAATAAGGCTAAAATCAAACAGAATGTATATATTTACCTACAGGATTGTTAATCTAAACTAATTTCTGTTATAATATAGATATATATTAATTAATAAGTTAGATTCAAGTATAATCAGTTTTTAAATTTTCTACATTATTGTACAGACTATTTAATTAAAATAGTTTTCATACAAACATTGTTGTTTCCCTGTTAGTGACTGATTATCCTTCTGATATCAGCTTTGTTTCTGATTAGTTATCTTAACATATTGCTAATAATAAAAGTGATGTATCATTTTACTTTAAATTGTTTGACTTTGAAAAAAAATAAATTTCTTTCTGGTTGTTTTATTTAAATCACAATTAAAGTTCCATTTAAATAAATTTCTAGAAAATATTATCCCTTGTAATCATAATAAGCAGAGATGAGTGATGGTTAGCATTGGAATTCAAGATGCACGTTTCGTCCTATTTAGGGCTCTTCAGCTGAGTACTCTTGCATTCAAACAACTAATGCAAAAATGAATTCATTTTACTTCATGATGAAACATTCATCTTATTGAAATTCTAAATAGTACTTAACCACAATTCACTTTCGTGTTATAAGCTTATTCTAAAAATAGTCTGATTTGCGCAATTATCTATAACTTTAGTTTCAGTCTTTTTTATTCTGAAAAAACTTTACTTCAGAACAACACTTTACCAAAATCGTTGTAACATACGTTATCAAGATTTTCTTTTTCTTTTTTCCTTAAACAATTCAATTTTTTTGAAAATCATAAACTTAATGACAGAAAAATTAATCCAACTCATATAATAAGCAATTCTTTGACTTCAGGTTACTTCAAGATGGGTGCTGTTTACTTTATTGTTTACCAAAGTTTCATTTATGTGTTATTTAGATCTTAAATATGATGACAATAACAATAGACTAAACAGCATTAACTGGAATATAGTAGTAAATTTCTACATTACGAACGTTTACATCTGATTATTTACCTAAACTTTTACTACATTTCTATAAACCTAAATTTTTAACAGTTGTAATCAACATTCAGCAATGCTTTAGTCAGATGATAATATTTAAGTAATTAACCCACAGTTTTCTTCACAAATTGCATGGTTTTGAAAGGTTCTGGTAATTGTAAGTAAACGTTTGTTTCAAACGAAACACTACACAGTATACTTTGATATTTGTTTATAGCTTACACAGCAAGCGAATCATTTTAGTAGTGAACAAAACAACCACATAGTTTTTGTGTTTCAAAGAAGAATGTTATAATATCGTTAAGCATTTTGGATTAACAATATTAATATTAACAATATTCTATTCATTGGATATTATTTGTTGTAAAAAGTAAGTGAGAAGCCATATCGCCAAGAAGCGTAGAATTTATTCACCAGAAATTTGTAGAATATGGTAAATACAGGAACTGATTTTCTGGTGAAATCAGAAAAGTCAATAAATATCTCTTTCTAAGTAACTGACCATTTCTGTTGAAGTGATATTAATATTACACTAGACAGATGTTTTGCCATGAATGTTTTCATCGAGAATGGTTGTAGTAGAGAATACTTTCCCTTAATTGACTGTTGACAACTACCTAAATGGTGATGAAGTAAAATATATATTGAACAGAATCTTGAACAAATTTTTCGTATTTCGTTAATTCGAAATACTTTCGATTTATACATCAGTCAATAAAAGGTTATGTCGTAGAAATTGGGTATCAGTATCTGTCATTACTGTTTATTCATTTTAAGTGTTCATTCTTTATTCTCTTCATCTTAGAATCTCTATTGTTCTGAATTTATCAAATACAATGACTATTGTCAATAACTATGACGAAAACATTCTGATTCTGTGTTTTCTTCTGAGACAAATTATACCATTCTATTCAGAGATTTAATCAATCTGATCGCTAAACTAAAGTATATGAATAAATGTAACTACGTCAATATAAAAAGAAGTATAGTGATTTAGGTAGAGTTTTGTTATCTGAGATGGAAAGTTTGATCGTGGAGCTTTCATCGTTCTTCTGAACAACATAGTCAGGCAGAGGTGAAGTATTTGGATTTCTCTATATACGACTCACAGCTTTTCCTATCAACATCAATCTTGACTAATTATTGTTGATCTTTGACTTGTTATTGCCACTTTATTTTGACTGTATTTTCCATTGATTTAATTCTTGGTCCTATATTTGTCCACGATTTTTCTGACTGGTTGATAGATTGAATCTATGTCAATTTGTTTGTTGATTGCTGATTTACCTGAGTGTCAACCTTCTAAGGCTTCTTTGTATTCCTTCTGTTCAAGATGTCAACCTTTTTCTAGTCAAATATGTGTTCGCAGTATTACACATGCATTGATATAAGCAAGAATATGGCATGATGTATGACTGCTAATTGATATTCGTATAGACCAAGATAAAAGTAGGCACTCACATTGTCTGATGTAGTGTTTCTTGTAGTTGGAACAATTTATTTTGTAGATGATTTTTAGTATAGTAATTTATATAAAAACAAATTTTATCTGATAAAAAGGTTGAAAGTAAAAAGAAAGGAAGAAAATATCTTTTATTTGGTAAATACTTTTATTGCCATACTTCCTTTGAATTAATCATTCTCATATATTACTTAGTTCTTGACAAGTTTCTTCAGTATCTGTTATAATATAGAACATTATCTGTTTTATTCAAAAACTCAGGAAATCATTTTCTTTATATAGTCAATATAAAGTGTTATGTAAACTGCTTTTTTTTCCCAACTATCTATAAGACACTTTGCATGCTTCTTAATAAAGAAAAATAGTTAGTTTTTTATAGGGGAAAATGTTTTCGGATTTAAATAATAATAATAATAATAATAATAATAATAATAATAATAATAATAATAATAAAGGTTTGCTGTATACTAGCGTGATTGATATTTCTCACAGAAAAAAAAGAAAGAAAAAAAGGTATATTATTGACTGATTAAAGCCAAGATTTAGATTTTTCTCCTTTGTTATAATTCACAAAATATAGGAATAGATATAACTCTTTTAACTTACCACTTTTCTTGATGATACATTAATAGTTGATATTTCTGATGGTGAAATTATATTAGATTGTAAGTTAACATTTGTTGACGAGTAACCATTGAATGATGAGTGTAAAAGTTGATTATGTTTCATTTGTTCATTATTTGATTTGATTATTTCTGGGAAATCGGTAAAAATTGGTGGTTCTAAATAGATTGGTAAATATAAACTAGAATTTACTAAATGAAAACTATTGCCAACTATTTGTGCTATAAGTTTTGGTTCTTGTGTAAAACTATTACAAAATGTAGTATTGTATGGGGATAAAATTGTACTGCACACAAGGTCACCTAAAAGAATCTGAAAAACACAAAACATACATATCAACAAACATCCTATAATTTTTACTAAATCAAATCAATGAATAATTTATTCAGTAATAGATCTCTTACTAAATTTGTAACAATAGTAGTATAAAATTGATAACAATCTGTGACTTAAAGTGTCTTCATACTTATAAATTGATTGAAGTCATTTGAATAAACGGTGGCTGATTTCATTTATTCTTTTACATGATGGAGAAGATTTGTAGTTCAGGTGGATGATTTTGATGGAGTATTGTTCTCTGAGCTGGATGGTTTGGTTGTAGAGCTTTCATCGTTCTTTTGAACAACATCATTAGCACTCCATTACAAATTCTTTCGTATCAACAAAAACTTGTAAATTAACAGCGTGATTATAAACTGGTGTTGTTTTTATTATTACCAATCTCCTTGCTGCTAAAAACCTAAATTGTTAAGATAGAAATTTGATATTTGTAATGCGCAATTTATAGAAAGCTACAAGTCAAAGTATATCGTTTCCAATGCATTAGTTGTATGAGTAATCACTAGTAATTACATAGCGAAGCATAATTCCGAATTTCTTTGAGTAAAAATATTCGCACTGTGAAAATAAGTTAAGGACATCTGTGGCTGCGATATCAATTATTTCAAATGATTTGATTTGTCGTATAAAAAAGGAGAATGGATGATTATTGTTGATGAAGATAGTATTTTATGGAATTAGAAAACCTAATACTTTACAGTGCCAATTATGAGTGTTGAATTGACATTTAATGTCACACCAAACGTTTTTCGTTTGTATGTTTTTTGGGTTGGATTTTACATCAGTTCAAAGATAACATTATCAACAAATATTAGAGCAAAATACATTTGGCTTGATGTTTCTATCTTTAAATAAGCCTGAATCAACTTTTACAGTAGTGATAAAGTCTGCTTCACCCATATCTCATAAAATCGACTGAACAATGTCATTATGTCATAAAGTGTATTGATTTTACTTACTGAATCAATAGCCTCTAGTGATGGTGAGACAAAAATCTGGTACTAAATATTTTGATCGACTAGTTATGTCATATAAGAAACCTTACATTTAATATTGGTATACATTTTTCTTGACATTAACATATCAATAAATCAAAGCCAGTTTCACATTTTTGTTAGTTGAATTTGATTTATGGATAGAGAATACTAAATATACTTGGAGGAGTATAACTTACTAATATATTTTATACAAAGATTCATTTTAAAATTAAGTCATCTTGAGTATTAGTTTTCACAAATTTATAAGAGATATGATCAATCACTAGAGGAAGTCAAATAATAGATAAAGATATTACGAAGTAATGCATGTTGTTTGATTTGTATGATTGAGTTCACTTTTCTTCTACAACTTTTATATAATTGAAATTTGATCTAATCACCTAATTTATAATACATATTTATCCAATTAATATTCTCATAATAAGGTCAATTTATAATGTCCCGGCACGGTTACGTGAATTATTAAAAGCTTTGACAGTCTATTAACTTTCTGTATTGATTGACTTTATAATATATAAATGTATTTAAGAAATTATCAGTTTGTATATATAACATTCATAATATATCAAAATGTTCTATGAATTTTCCTATCAGATACATGTCCTTATCTAATATATAAAATGTCTCATCAACTAGAGAGATAAAAATTATTCTGTTATTCGTTCATCTTAATTATTTTTCAATGGTTAAAATGCATTCAATAATTCTAGTTTTTTGTTTTTGTTGTTCTATTCTATAATTAAACCATACAATGTCGAAGTCATCGCTCTAAAACTATTGCAAAAATCAAAACAAACCCACCAAAATTTGAACTAACATACTTTTTGACTTTTGGAACAAGCTAGATTTCAGTTTAAAAAAGAAGTTTATACTGGTCTTTAAATTAAAGTCACCATAATTTCCTTACACATCTGAATCTCTAACTTATATTTAATCTAATCCTTTTCCATTTTTATTTTTATTTTCATGAACATATTTCAATAAAATGCATTAATTTCATTAATTTTGTCTGGATTACTATTGTTTATTACGTTTGGTCAAATTCTTTCAATATCAAACATTTGCTGTGCTAAAACGTTTATTCTATTTCTTGATGACATTTCGTCCTAGTTTTGGACTCTACTGCAGTGCGAGCTCACGATCTCTCTTCCAGACTCGAACACAGAACCTTCCGTCTCGCGCTCGAACACTTAATATCTAGACCACTAAGCTGGCACCCAACGGTGTTAGCGTCTATCTTCAATTGTTTCATGATCTCACTCAACCACCCATCCATTATTTGAGGTAAATACCTGTCTCTATCCAACACGGATTATACTCTACCGGCCCTGGGACTGAGTCCCGCATGCGGAATCGTGGATGCGCACTTCCGATGTGTGTCACACTAAGACAAAACGGTTGCCCAGTTCTTCCAGGATTTCAGTGGTGATCTAGCTTAAGTAGTTTCATAATTGCGACTACTAGAAATTACGAAAATCTCCACGAAACCACATTCTAATAATATTTATAGAATTTTTCTTTGTATTGTTCACAGAATGTGATAAGATTGAGAAAAGTACTCATATCCGGACTTACAATATCACAAAGATGAACTTCATGGCTTAGATATAATTTTTGAGAAATCCAGTTAACGGATCTGTGTCTCACCCATATTACAATATCTATCTATCGCTTGAAATATTACTAGTTCTACTACCATTACAACCGCTACTAATACCAAAATAAGATTTATTAGAAAGAGAGAAAAAACGAGAGTTGGATGATACTGTTTTTTAAAACATTTGATAAATCATATAGTTAATCAAATCTGACAATAAGTTCTTGAAGATAGGTTTAATCAAATTTCTTTTATCTCTTTACGCAAAACAATATTAATTATTGTTGTTTTGTTTCTGTCTAAATAATCTTTAGTATTTTTATCGTTGAATAGAAGCATTATTCCTATTATTGTGATGATTGTTACCTTCATCAACAGCTTGATCACCTTAGCTTTTGAGACATAAATACATACTAACATTTTTACAGGTGTATACGTAGGGTAAGTAATACTCTCTAATATTATTGTGCTTAGATAGAAACGCACTTGATCAGTTAACTAACCAAATAATATAGCTAAGGTAGAAACAAAAATAACAAGCACAAAAGTACACAAATTTCACACACATACACATTCGAACTGGACAGTTTTTCGATGTAACTCTGAGTTAAATCATTTAGGCAGTATAATTTTACTAAAACAAGTAAAACTTAGATGAATCAAATTAATTAAATCTGACTGATTGTTTTCATTTGGAAGTAGCTATTATATATTTTTATCTTTAAAAGTTACTATGAAGGGAACTTAAATAAGCAGCTAAGAGATGGATTAAGGTAATTATTAAACATGAAAGGTATTATGAATAGTAACCGGAAAGTTATCAGGTCGATGTTTTAAACATTGATGTTAGGTAAATTATTTCCTAATCACATTTTAGTGTTTATTATAGTCAATTTTACAAACAATTAGAAACAGTGTTAGAAAAGTTCAAGTTTAAAAAATATGTATAAATAAGTCAACAGGAACTTTAGAGAGATATATGTATGTGTAAACTGGAATGCTCATTTAATTGAGGATTCGATGCCAAATCAACTTCTACTGAGTGTGTGTTTACATCAGAATCATACAAAAGAACTGTTAAATATAATGCGTATTCATGTTTTTACAGTCAGGGACAGTAAGTGAGTTTGTGTCGTTTAAAATCAAACCCATAAAAAATGAACATATTCTTTTTTAGTCTCTTATCAATTCATTACTACAGGCGTAAGTATAGATCACTTATAATGTTCAGTGTTTTTGAGGATCAGAAATTTTGAATCAGTCCTTATGCGAAATATGAAGTTGCCCCATTAAATAACAGAATGATTTGTTAGTATAAAGAGGTTTCAAATGCTATTAATCCATAATAATTGTTGAGTTTAGAATCTGGAATTTACGTGAACGATTTTTTCGCTATACAGTAAATCTTTAGGAATTCAAATCTTTGAAATCATGATCATTTACGAAGTATCCAATCTGTGCATTATATATTTGTGCGATTTTAACATCTACTGTACAGTTCGTCTATTTTGAAAATTCCTACATAAGTCTAAGAAGTTTATCATATAAAATGGATTGCTATTTTCTTATTCCACGAACTCAATTATATAAATTTTATCGGAAGGGATTTCGTGGACCTGGTTGAAATACACTTATAATAATCATCTGCTCACTACTGACTGACTTCAAGAGGCATTTCCTGGAGTTCTAGTGAGAAGTCGTTACCAGTGTAGTTCAACCAGGTCAGCTCATTGAAGACAATGGTGTACAGTGACGCAATTTCGTGGATTGGTTCAAGTTAAGCATTAACACCGTTGGATGCCGGTTCATTGGTCTAATGGTTGAGTGCTCGCACGCGAGACTGATAGGTCCTGGACTCACCATATTACTCATCAAACTTTATTTTATTACTTAAACACTAAAATTATTTACTGCTGGATAGTGGATGCGCACTGCTCAGGAGTCCCATATTAGAACGAAACGGCCATCCAGTGCTTCCAGGTTTTTCATGTTGGTCTAGCTTCAATTGACTCATGATTTAAACTATTGAAATTTCTAAAATCTCCACAAAATCACTTCTGATAAAATTTTTATAATTGAGTTCATGGAATAAAAAAATAATAATCCAAGCAGTTTTAACTATTGCCATTTTTTATGGATGACAACTGAAGACCATTGGTGTAATTATAGTTGCTATTACTAAACCAGGAAGATTTAGCATAAAGAAAAATTATCAACAGACTTTCCAAAACATACCTCATTGAGATAAAAAGAAAGATCTTAGCATGTGTGCGAACTATAGAGGCGTCACACTACTATTGGTTTTCAAGAAATTGTTGCTGAACCACATTAAAGGTTTTGGAATTCGTCACCATACATCAGCTTTCTTGACTATGAGA